GGATCCACTGTCGGCATGTGGACTGATGAGTATCTGCGACTGGCTTAATATGGCTCTTGGAATGGAAGTAAACCTATACTCAAGTGGAGTCTGCACCTCACCATGTGGTAGGTTTGCTTACACCATCCTGTTTAAGTGCAGAGATCTACAAGATCTGCTTGCTCAAGTGTGGGAGAGGAAAATTGCTTAATGGTCTAACTAGAAAAGATTCTTGTATTGAAGAAGATATCATTTATTTCTATATAATCTATAATGTATGGTTCACTCATCAAGTTCTGATGAAGAGTGACCAGACTCCCACCCTGCTTTCTTTCCACAGACCTGCTGAGTTCCTCCAACGATTTCTGTTTCAGATCTCCAGCATTTTCAGTTCTTTGTTTTATTACCGAATTATGTAGATGCTAGGGCTCACTTCTTCAAGATCCTAAACTGATCTGGCCACGAGTCCATATGACACCATCATAGTGAGACACTCATGTTGGAGTGGAATGACCAAATAAATCATTCAACACCCAGATACAGTTTTTGTTCCCAACACCCAGAACTTCCAGCATCAAAGAGTTTATTGAAATTACACTGGGGGAAGCGACCCTCTGAGAATCCTAGAGTTCTTCCCCGAACAAAGGAAAGACATTTTATACGTTTGTTTCATCTTGCCTTTACAAATACAGACCAATCATATTACTAATTAATTACATACATTTCCAGTTAAGCTAATTATACAACTGCACAGCTAGAGACGAACAGGTTTGTGGTCAACCCCCTATCCCGGTCCTCCATGGTCTCATGATGTTTCCCAGGCTCTCTTATCTCCCTTCTTGGGGCTTTTCACAGTGACGCTGTATTCAAGTACATTCCTTCCCAGATATTTGCTAGCTGCACCAATTTAACTGTCAATAAATTGTATACTTGTCTATAACTTAACGGCTTTTTAAATTCTGTTATATAGCTTATATTACTTATTAACCTTATTATAGGAAATACAAAGGATATTAATTTTTTTACTAATTGTTACAAAATCTGTAATATCACTTCAAATAATGTTTTATAGTCATTACTAGTGTTAGAATTTTTTAGCTAATGAGTTGTGAGCAGTTTCTTTCTCGCCTTCTTTTCACATGCTCTGAGTGGGATTTATATAAATATATATATGTATGCGCCTGTGTTAAATCTATAATTAATTCAGAATCTATACCGATGATTATTTGAAGAATCTTAATTAAAATCTACTATTGCAACAGCTTGACTCATTAAAGATTCACTGATTAAATTTAGAATTCTTATGTGAAATGTTCCTATCTATGTCTTCTGCTTAAGTAACTGCAGCTGCATGTTAAGCCTACTGTACTATCTTAATTCTGTTATCTTGGGTCAAGGGAGCTACCATTGTTCTAACTAATGCAGACTGTATTAAGCAAACGTTTTCTCAAGCTTCCTAAGACTATTGTTAGCCATGTTTTTACTGCTTCTGCCAATGGCAGCCGTCGGCCATTTTGTACTGCTCAGCCATGGCCGGCCGCAACATCCCCTTTAGCTTAACCCTTTCAGACCCTTGTGCAACAAGAGCAATGATACACTCCTTGGAAATGGGTTGAGTGTTTCTTTATCCCCTCACTATTAGTGCAGACTACCTGAAGAGGCTAGTAATATGGTTCACTGGGACTGATTTGAAGCTATAAGCTGGAAGGAGTAGTATCCATCAGTCAAACAAAACCTGGGCATCTGCAGAAGTGACATTTTCTCTCTCTATTGCAAATAAGAACCTGGACATCAGGGGTGAAGGCCACTCTTGGTGGTTGCTGTCTGTGGCACAGGTCTGGGCCATTCCTCACTCCCCTGACGTGCCAATATTTGCTTGAGCAATTGTCACTGATGATCGCCATGTTGTATGAGGTTGCCTGCACTTCTGCTCCTCATGGAATAGGTTTGCTGTTACCACCCTCTTTTAGGTTAAAGATCTACAGGGCCCACTTGGTCTGGTGTGGGAATAGAAAATCACTTGGTATTTAATGAGAAAAGGAACTTCTCTTAAATAAGATGGAGTTTCTTGCATGACAGGTGACCTTGATATAATTGACATTGTTGTAGAGACCATGAGGAGAACCTATAAGTTAGGTCCTCCTCCTCCAAGATCCTAAGCTGTTTTTTGATCAATGGATCATCACAGTGGAGGTTTAAGGCACTACTTAATCTGAGATAACACCGTGTGGAGCTGGAGGAACACAGCAGGCCAGGCAGCATCAGAGGAGCAGGAAAGCTGACGTTTCGGGTCGGGACCCTTCTTCAGAAAAAAATTTTCTGAAGATTTTTTCTGAAGAAGAGTCCCGACCCGAAACGTCAGCTTTCCTGCTCCTCTGATGCTGCCTGGCCTGCTGTGTTCCTTCAGCTCCACACCATGTTATCTCTAACTCCAGCATCGGCAGTTCTTACTACCTCTGACTACTTAATCTGAACTCTTTTAGATCCTTCTGCCTTTATACAACAGTGATCACACAAGCCATCTTCCACTTTATCTGGAGATTCAAAATGGACCATGTTCACAATGTACAAAGCTATAGACAAGGAAGGAACAAGTACCCAACTTTGCTCTCATTCTGATAGCCATCTCTTTGTGTGGCTGTAGACGGTTATATATGGACTCTTGTTATGTAAACATCAAGTGACACTACTTGTTGAGGTTTTGCCTGTCTTTGGTTTTGCAAAGGATGGATCTGGCCCTGGTAGCAAAGGTTTGTTGAAACCCCACTTGTCCACAGGTCCATCAGGAAGTAGTCATCACATAGCGTCCTTGAGACCCTGCAGGAAAAGGAGAGGGTGGATCCTGTCAGGTTGTTCCCTGAGCAGACTGTCAAAGTCATTTGGCAAAATGCCTCATCGGTAGAACCTTCCAACAAGCACCAAGACATCGCTCAGCTGGTGGTGAGACGAGCACTGCCCACCAGATCCTTGTCACATACCCAGATTATCATCCTGCTGCACACTGCTCCTGAGCTGTGGTGGGGAAGAGACTCCTCCTTGCAGAAGGTAGAAGGTGTCTTGGCAAAGAAGATCTGAAGATAGATGTGTGGAGAATGATACATTGAATCCGGAGGTTAGTGGGGTGATACGTATTTGTCCTTGTCCTCACAATCTAATCGGTGAGACCAAGTGGAGACTCGGAGACCCACTTTGTAGAGCGTCTGTGCTCTGTTCGTGACAAACGACAACACCTTCCAGTCGCAAACCACTTAAATTCCCCCTCCCACTCCCTGGGTGACATGTCCATCCTGGGCCTCCTCCAATGTCACAACGACGCCACCCGCAAACTGGAGGAGCAGCACCTCATATTCCGCCTTGGGAGCCTACAACCTAATGGTCTCAATGTGAACTTTACTAGCTTCAAAATCTCCCCACCCACCCCCGGCCTCATTCCATGACCAATCCTCCCTCTCATCCCCGCCTCCTAGACCTGACCCAATCTGTCCGTCTTCTCTTCCACCTATCTGCCCCTGCCATCTCACTGACCAATCCCCACCACTGCCTACCTGCACTCACCTGTCACCATCCCACCTATCTTCCCCAGCCCCACCCCTCCTCTCTTTATTTCCAAGCTCCTTTCCCCCTCCCCTATTTCTGAAGAAGGGTCCCGATTCAAAATGTCAGCTTTCCTGCTCCTCTGATGCTGCTTGGCCTACTGTGTTCCGCCAGCTCCACACTGTGTTATCTCTGACTCCATCACCTGCAGTTCTTACTATCTCTGAAGGTAGATGTAATGGCTGTTATTGACGTCCATCCTGAGGCAGCTCTGTGACTCAGGACTCTGTGTTCTACAGGCTGATCTGCTCCTAGAGAACCATAAAAGTTTGATGGAAAAAGCTGTTTGGTTTACTCAACAACTTCATCCAGTGCAAAGGGTTATTGACGACTGAGTGTTGCAGACTGGCACATTCTGAGGATGTCATGGTGAGGGTATCACTAAAACTTTGGGTAGCTTCAGTAAAGATGTAATGGGAACTGGTCACCATCCAAGGCTTTCCCGACCAAGGGGCTGTGGAGTGTTTAAAAACTCCTTGGGCTATCTCCTGACATAGAATCACAGAATCAATACAGTGCAGAAAGTGGTCAATTAGCCCATATTGTTAGCAGCGTCTCTCCCAATGAACAATTCACGGAGTGCCTTTCTCCTGCTTTTTCCCATATTCCCTACACAGCCTTTCTTTTCAAATCACATAAAATTCCCTTGCAACTGTCTTTATTGAACTTGTTTCCACTAACTTTCAGGCAGTGCATTCCAAACCTTTTAGCAAAGCCTTTGACACAACATTGGGTTCACAGCTATATCACAGTATAGCCCAGAGGCTGACTGACTTATTCCTTAGTCCCGAAGTCCACCACAGAACGCTTGACACAAAATGTGAATGTTACAGCAATGGAATAGGGTGTGGAGTGAGTCAGACTGTTGGAATTGGGTGTGGAGTGAGTCAGACTGTAGAATTGCAGGAAGGGCCTTTCTCACTGAATACAAGCCATATCTTGGTCTTTGACTGGAAAGTTATGATGATGAAGTGCTGGTCTGCCAAATGGCTTTGAGACCCTGCTCAGGGAACCATCCATCTTGGCTCCCTGGTTGAGAACTACTCACTCAGCTTAGATCCTGCATTGAATTCGCATCTCCTGGGTGAGAGGTCTCAGAATTTCATTTATTAATAACCACTGAGAGTCACTAGTTTTGTTTCGGCCTCAGTCAGAAACATACCTGTTCAATTGAAACCCTTCCTAATTCCAAAGTTGCATGTAATACATCCACAGGAAGCTGGCCCATTGCTATCTTCAGGCCCAGTTTAAAAAGTGGCAGGGTGAAGAAGAGAATATTGATTTTGATTTGATTTAAGCTTTATCATCATGCATACTCAAGTACAGGAGTACAGTGAAAAGTGTACAATGCCACCCCATGTGGCACCATTTTAAGTACAAGGGTACTTAGGTACAAAACTTGGATACAAGTAGTAACATAGGGGGAAACAAAGTTAAAGCATTACCTTTGCTCTTAGTATGAGGAGAAAAATAAAGAAATAAACTTAAAAGTTAACATTACAGTCCTTCCTAGTATTAAATGGAAAAATGAAGGAATAAAGGTAAAAGTTCAACACTCTTAAGTGTACTTCCAGCGAGGCTCAGTCTCCTCCACTTTGGCCCACTCTCCAGAAACTTCGGGCCTTCTGCTCTCAACGCCGCAGATGCCTGGGGACCTCCCTCACCAACACGTCAGGCTCAGGCCCACAGCTACTTTCCCCGCACTGGATCTCCAGCCCACTGCTCTGGGCCCACAACCGCTCCACGCATCCGACTTCCAGCTGACACTGCTCGGGACCCATGGCCACTACTACCACGCTCCTCACGATGCTGCTGCCTCTCTCTCCAGAACTCTGGAAGGTAAGTTTTTAAAAAAAAAAAAAAAAATGACGAGAAGGAGGGAGAAAAATGAAGGATTGTGGCCAACCTGTAGGGGGTCAGGCTTACTATGGTTGTGCTGCCATCTTGAATAGCTGGCTCACTATCTCCTCTTGTGCTGCCAGGTCCCACTCTCTCCTGCTGTCGCTGCCTTAAAAGGCCTTTAAAGAGGAAAAAATAATAGCCAAAAGAAACAAAGTAAACGAGCCCCAGTGTAAGGAGATTGAACACAGTGGCGCCACTCTGCAGCCGCCATCTTGGCAAAATCCAATTCTGAGGGAGCAGGGGAGTGGAGATAATGGCTCCCAGAAAATGAAGGCAAATAGTTGTGACGAACCCTGTGCAGCTTTCCAGATGCCTCTGAAAAGTTTTAAAACAGTGCCTGACTTTTAACTTCTTGGACTAGCAGCTGCAAACATCAGAGATGGAACTGAAGCAAGCCAAGCAGAAAGCTATCACTAATTGAAAAGCTGAGCACTGCGAATAAGTCAGAACAAGGACTGAAAATGCTGGAAATGCTCAGCAGATCAGGCAGCATCTGTGGAGGGAGAAACCGAGTTAGCGTTTCAGGTCTGCAACCTTATGGCAATGGGACAAGAAAAGAAACAAAACAAAAAAGAAGGAAAAATGGAGAAGAACTGAG